ATAGGCTTTAACATTGTGTTATAGATCGTTATTTTGTTTTTGAGGCTTAATCTAGATTTTCTATTAATCAGAGGGTACATACCTCTGATCTGTTTCTCAATCTTTGCCTTCACGTTTTCGAAGTGCGGGGTCTAGGTGAGCCTACGGTGTATTAGAAGACCGAGGTACTTTACCCGCACTTGCCAGCCACTTTCATAGCCCGAGATGTCGTGGGATGTCGTTCTTCCCATAACTATTGCCTGTTCTCTCGCTACAAAACTTAAAAAATTCAATTTACATCCCCATTCTGCACGCTGATTGGCGAAGATAGTGGAATTGATTGAAGCTGCATTTCTAATTGATTTAAACTGACTTCAAAGTGGCGCGATAACAGAGCTCGTCAGACAATCGTCGATGCTAAAGCTTCAAATAGAGGATTATATCTGAGCTTGTATTGGCAATTTTCTCGTTATAATTTTTCTAGGTTACTCCTGTGTGAACGGTATTGATTTTGATGCGTGCCACTTATAAATTTATAAAAAACGAAAACCTAACAATACTCCAAAACATACCTGTTACCTAATGAGCTCAATTATTTCAGATAACAATTCACTGAAACTCACGTTATATCTATATTCCGTTTTCCCAAATAGACCCGAAATTGGGTAAATCGGATTAAAGTCTCAAATAAAGGATCATATCTAATGATTGTCTTAGTTTAACGCTGTCTAAAGTTTCTATATCATTTGCATTTGCGGATCGTAAAGATGAATTCCGTATGAATTTGTCGCCAACGCGCTTCGAATATTTCCATGGAAAATCGTAATTCGAGAAATGAAATGTGCGAGGCTCAGACATGAATGGCTTCTATTTCACATGAACAGCGTCTTTCATCAGTTCCATAAATTTATCCCTTATTGGAAATATGTTTCGCTAAGTGAAGATAAAATGAATTCGGATCTTCTATTCATGAGAAAAATTTCAATCAGTGGAACTGAGGAACTGGACGGGGACGGTGCCGGTAGCCGGTTGGGTTGACGTGGGTGGTTTGCTCCACTAGACAGTCACTGAACATATCAAGAGGCTTGTCTCAGAAATTCTTCAAGTTCTTCCTGCCGAAAAATCCTCTGACGAGGGACGTCACGGGTATGAGGAGTTATCATAATCAACCCCGTGAACACGGGCTGATCTATGATTAATTGGATATCTTCCACGAATGGCGAGAACAAGATCACGCCAAGTCCATGGAAAAATTGGATAAGATAATTTACGCTGTAGCGTGATAGCGAAATTACTCTTACCTGTTTTGTTTCATGAACTTTTTCCAGCAGGTTTCGGACAACTAACATAAGCTTACATAGACTAAATGAGATAAAGTAATATCGAAATCGCGACGCAAGGAGAACTCTCGCGTGAGCTCAGCAGGAAGAGAGACGTCATAGGCGGAGGTTATGACGTCATAGGCGGAGGCTAAATCAGCACTGATAGCAGACAAGGCCTATTAGCCTTGAACAGACAACATGTTACCTTAGGGCTAGTACTAGAGTGCCACCAAGATTCAGCCAAGGCCTCGGTAGATCATAACATCATTCTGAGGTGGGTTAAAGGGCACGACAGGAGTAAAGGTAATCGCATTGCAGACTCTTCAGCCAAGGAAGCGACTGGAACAAGAATTTTAGGACCCAGTGGCACCAACGGCCTGATGACTTCGACAATTGTGGAACTAGCCAAACGTCACACCCATGCTCAATCCCTAAAGAGATGTGATCAATTCAAAGGATGCAATCTTGCCAGAATCACCCTGGGCGACGCTGGAAAGCTGGCGCCGAAGAAATATCTGGCGATGACTAGGAAAAATCTGCGCCTAATAGTAGGATTTCTGGCTGGCCACTGTCAACTAAGAAAACACCTTCACAATATGGTGCTAGTGAACACACCTCTATACAGGATGTGTGAACAGAAAGATAAAACGGTCAGGCATGTTCTATGCGAATGTCCGGAGTTATCGTCAATAAGAGAGTGTGTGTTCCTCCTTGGGAGGATGTATAATGGGTCAATTGTGGCCTAAGTGCTGTGTGGCCTACACTCACCCTCTCTACTCCACCGATACAGATAGGTGGTGGCTAAAGCAAACATCTGTTGAGCGAAAAGCTACTCGTTAACATCAGCGGGGGAGCCTCCCACAGTCCAATCGTGGGACCATGTGACGGCGTGTCTTGTACTGTCTTGTTAGGCTCAACAAAATAGTCATCCACCTGCCATTTCCCCCTATCCCTCTTCCTTCCCTAAACCTCTTTCCGTATGTGGGACAATGTTTGTTTTTGTAAATAAATTTTTATTAGTGTTTGTAACCATAATCTTCACTTAAAGCATTTTGATTTTGATTTTGGTTCACTTCACTCGCTCAATCGACCGCTGTGTGAACCGGTGGTTCGAACACAAAACAACGGACGATCGATTTTCACTCTCTATATCACTTCCTATCGTTAGTAGTTAGCTCGCACAAGTTTCGATTTTTGAGAGTTTTCGTTCGCAGGGGTGCGACAGCTGGTTAACGGAAAAATATATTTTAAACAACAACAAAAATTAATTGGCGCTCCGGGGCGACTTCATTGATTTCAATGGCGCATTTGCTTTTTCAGCTGCAGGAATACCCGGAAAAACCTGCAGCACCACATCATCTGAAGATCTTGATCTGCCAATATAAATTGTTCTTCCCAAAATAAGATATTCAAACAAAATTAGTTTTCACAATTTTTTAATTTTCTTCGCAACATACAGAATATATCATTGGAAAATTTATATTTATCCCCCAGTTATTTGTTGCAAGTCACTATTTCAATGGCTCCTTAGCGGCGTCTTTAAGGGGCATAATGGGTAGAAATATCTCAGTGACTTTTTGGATGACTTGCAGTGCCATTTGCTTGAGACGTCTATGTTGCTTTCTTTGATGTACGGGCATGTTTGAAATAGCGCGTATCGATATGACGTATCGTGTAATGTAACACCATACATACTCGACCGTAACGAAATTGAACGAGGTACGAAATAACACCGCATGCAATGGTGGTTCGACTTATGGGTGCGTATCCATATGAGACAATAGCCAGTAACGTAACACCGTACGTGTTCGTCATATCGCTAGATAACACAACTTGTTTCCGGTAGTATTTGCCAGTTCTGACCGTATCAGTCATTGGAACGGAACAAGATACAAATCAACACCGCAGCTACTTTATTTCATACTATGTAGTGATGCGTCGACGTTATTATATTTTATTTGTGGTCTACATATATGGACACATACTTGTCAGGAACGTTTGATCCGCTAACAAAGACGATCAGGCAAGCCACAACTAAGTTCTATTAGTTAACCTTCATGCAAGAAACGGCCACATGTCTTGGAAGTTCGAGACTCTCAATGTTTCACGATTCTATAGTTCCAAAAGTGGATGACATATTGTACTTACCTGTTGATTTTTGCTTACGGAAACCATACTGATGATCACTCAAGATGTGGAGGCATTCCAGATGAGAATGTATTGATGAACAGCTTTCTCCATGATTTTCGATATCACTGGTCTACTATTTTTTGGGGGGAACAGGTTGAACTGGAGCAGTCCTCTAGAAAGAACAGCAAGCCTTTCTTCATAACACAACAGATAACGTATTACCTCAGGGCTAGTACTAGTGTGCCATCAAGATTTAGCCAAAGCCTCGGTAGATAATAACAACCTGAGGTGGGTTAAAAGGAACGACAGGAGTAAAGGTAATCGCATTGCCTACTCTTCAGCCAAGGAAGCGGCTGGACTAAGAATTTTAGGACCCAGTGGCACCTACGGCCTGATGACTTCGACAATTGCGGAACTAGCCAAATATGTCACCCATGCTCAATCCCTAAAGAGATGGGATGGAATCAAAGGATGCAATCTTGCCAGGATCACCCTGGGCGACCCTGGGAATCTGTCGCCGAAAAAATATCTGGCGATGACCAGGAAAAGTCTACGCTTAACAGTAGGATTTCTAACTGGCCACTGTCAACTAAGGAAACACCTCCATAATATGAGGCTAATGGACACACCTCTATGCAGGATGTGTGAACAGGAAGATGAGACTGTTAGGCATGTCCTATGCGAGTGCTTGCAGTTATCGTCAATAAGAGGTGTGTTCGGCGAGTCTTGGCCTACACCTGCCGATATAAAGGAGATGTCTCCCAGTGACCTTTCCACCTTCCTGGAAAGGACAGGATGGACGATCACCTAGGAGGACAACTCCTCGGGAGAATGTACAATGCGTCACATGTAGCCTAAGTGCTGTGGGCTTATACTCACCCTCCCTACTCTACAGATACAGATGACAAGTTAAAAAGTAAACAGAACACTGCTGCGAGTCCATTAGCATTTTTTTAGTAGGGTGTCAGTACAGTAAGGAGAGTGGCTGGGGTTTCTCCCTTATTTATGTGGTATGGGATGTAAATCATTCATTATAATTATCAATTTCCTTTCAATTACTATTATTATATCAGAATATTAGCTGATTCTTCAAGCGTACACCTGGTAGCGAATGGTTCATTGGCAATCATTTAAGCCTTGTTTCATTCTACTCGACAGTATCAGTCAGATTTCAAAACAATTTTGATTACGTTAATTTTGTGTCTTTGATGTAATTGATTTTTTCAGTTCTGAAGACGGAGATGGTTTTTAGCCACCGAAACTTCAAACAATAATTTGTATCAGAAAAAGGATCAAATGCAAGTTACTGATAAACAGCGAATTTTCCTTTGAGTATAAAATACAAATAATTTACGCAGTAACGTATTTGTGTGAACAAGAATTTTACACTTTCTACACCTGTATAAAGTTTTCCTTTGTAATTTTTATTTATTTTTTTCAGTTGTAAAAGGTGAAAATCTCCATAAAAATTTCATAAAACTGATATCTTCAAAAAAAAATTAATTTTGTTCAAAATCTCATTTTCTCTTAATCATAAACAAATACTCACCAATTTTTCTTTTGTTTCAGATTGTGATGTTTAGACTGAGTATGCTTATCAGCTGTATTTTCATGACAAACACTGCGATGGAAGAGAAAAATCTAGCCGCCAACTTCGTAGACTCCAACTCGGATTTGCCGGATTTCGACAAATATGCCGTCACCTGCTACATTTGCGTTAATGTATCCGACAATCTAGTCTGTAATCAATACGCCATAGATAGACCGTGTAAGCCCGGTAAGGATATACATAATTGTAATTCGAATTGAATTATCATATGGGTCGGTAAAAATGGTTGTTAATGTTCCTAACCTAAACTGAATTCCAGGTGAGATGCAACTGCTTTTTAAAGAGATATACAAGTTAGAAAAAAAGACATCCAAATAGATCACGAAACAATTGAGGAATATCAATGAATTATCTTCATGAAAATGTTTGAATCATCAGCATTTGTCTCACATAAACTTCAGAAGAGTCAAGTTGAAATAACTACTTTCCAATTTCAAATTCAGCCTTACTTTTGGTGAAGAAATCATAGTTTTTACTGAACTCACTTCATGATTTTTGTAAAAATACTTTAGCTTTGTATTTCTCCATTTTTGAACAAAAAAATTGTAGGGAACTTGAAGGAAGAAAGTAACATTCAAATGTTTGGAATGCCCACTGAATAGTAAAAGCAGATTTTCGTGTGATTCAATGTTCATATATCTTGAAGAAGTTTCGAAGTAGCTTTGTCTTTCCGTTTGTATCTGAAATAATGAGTGATTTTTTTGCTGGTATCTTTTTGGCAACACTGTTTTTGACAGATCACGCGTGAATCGTGTCTTGTGTCATTGTCAAACTTNTCTCTGTCGTACGTGAGACCTGAATGTTAATCTTTTGTCTAGGGTGACTCCCAGGTATCTAGCTTCGCTGATCCACAGAATCTCTTGTCCGTTGAAGGTGGGGTTTCCTTCCGGGTGTGCCGGCCTCCAGGTAAACAGTATCGCCTGACTCTTGTCAGGGTTTATACCGATCTTCCACAGGTTGGCCCATTCCTCTAATCTATCTGCATGTTGCTGCAAGTATCTAGTGACCTGCGCTTGGCTTGTTGATCTCGTCAGCAGAGCTGTGTCGACCGCGTAGAACACCAAATTGTTAAAGTTGTTCTCCGGCTGGAGCACATCTGTTGTGTATACCGAGAAGAGGTGTGGCGAAAGGACACGGCGAAACGCGACTTTTGACGCGCTATTTATAGACACCCGCCACCGCCTTCCCGGTCGGTATCACCGCAAGCGCTGTGTCCCTGCATTTTAAATCTGTAATATCTTTATCTGGATAAAGATTAATGTTGTATTGGTTGAAATCGATTCGTAGGTAAATAAGTCATTATTTCTCTAGAATGAAAAATTGTTATTGTGGGGTATCCCTGACAGACAGACAAATACCATCGCGGACTTTTTTGTAGATCTTTTCAAGGTGTACAATACTGTAGTACATTTTTGATCCGCCTCGTAGAGTTCAGACAGCGTTTCCAATGGTAAGCGCAAAAAAATGTGTTTATTTACACATCACATTATATACTTTTAAAATTATCTCTACGATATTATACATGTTATATACATATAAACCTTTCTCTTTCTTTAAAAAAACCCGCTTCCAAACTTGTTGCATATAGTATTGAAGATATAAGCATGTATAGCAACAGACAGCGGAAAGTGACTTTGTTTCATACTATGTAGTAATGTTCTACTAAATGGAAAAATATTTGACCAACCTAAATATTTTCCTGTCTAATTTCACCCACCACCTGCTTCTTCATCAAGTTATGCAAGCAGTGAGGTAGTATTTCATCTCATTCAATCAAGCATCGTTTGAAATAAAATTCACATTTCGATATACTAGTGAATTTTCATCTCCCTGAATTATTACATCAAGTGTAGCGGTTTTATAAGGTTAACCCTCTTTCCAAAAAGTTTTGTGTCATTGAACCGATTTAATAACGTTCGATGAAAATGGTGTTTACACAGAAATCAACGTTGGTTTTGATAACATCGGTTGTTATCCCTCTTCAAAATGGTATGTAAACGAGATCGATTGCGTCGATTTTGTTGGATTTAAAACACCGTTCTTAAGAAAATAGTTATAGAAAAATATAATTCGAAAAGCAGTAGACAGCTGCATTTCACCGTGTACTTCTAATAAATATATGTTGAGGTAGAATCTGTCAGTTGAACATCTCCCTTGAAAGTATTTATATAACAGTTGCTTGTTTTCTGTAATCAGGCGGGTGACTTCATTTGGGTTAAATTCGAAAACCTCAGGGTATGCTCGAGGGTGGAGCTCCATATACTTATGTGAGCAATATTTCAAAGAGGGTCTAATGACCATCAGAAACTGCTGAGGTGTCTAAAATCTTCTAGTGCGAGACGAAAGTTCCTGAGACGTTGCCTTTACCATTTCAGTAAAACATTTCATCCATTCTGATACCTAGCAAAATAATCGACAGAGCTATCGGAAGGGTGTACCTTGTCATTATTATTATTTCCGTTTCAGTCACATTCAGTTTCATACAGAAACTTGATGGTTGGGTTTCTATAGCATTTAATTTTCCTCAGCTGCTTTTCAAAAATTTCCTTCAGATCTTCAGTCAGACATAAAACTTGTTATCAGAAAAAATGTGCATTAGCAGCTGATATTCATTTGTCTGAAGAAACTAGTGTGCTCTTATTTATTGATTGATAGCACTGTATTTCCAACAGGCCTTCACCAAATTACAGGAAATGTACAAAGGTGTTGATGAAAATATATGCAAAACAGTATAATTAGTTAAATAAAAAGACTGCTACAACTAAAAGGAAAATGAGTAGAAATAGAAATATATCACAAGAAGCGAAAAGAAAAAGTTATCACAGTTAAAAGGTTCTAGTGAGAATACATTTTGAAATAAAACTTTGAGAACTGTGATTAATATCGCACATATCACATATTGAATTATAGTTGTTACAAAGTACTGACACTGGTGCTTTCAAACTGTTATTTGTTCTGACAAGATCACAGTAAAATGTCGTTTGGTATCTGGAATTAAGGTGTGGGGTGCGGAAGTTGATCATTTGTAAAAGAGGGGCACACGAGATCTTATTGTTTAGCAGTTTGTGAAGAGAGGAGATTGTGACAAAAAGTCGTCGTGTATTCAGAGATATTACATTAAATTGATTCAAAAGGATAGAATAGTCGATTTCCCTCTGAGGATATATTCCTGTGACCTTGAAAGACAGATATTTTAAAAAAAATTTTTGAACAGCATCAAAATGATGTATGTGGCAATTGTAAATTGGATACCATATTAACACGCCGAATTCTAGTTTAGACCTCACATAGGCATTAAACGGTGTTATAATCGTATTATTATTCTTGAATTCTCTGATACAACTTATTTCATTTATGAAATCGTAAAAAGATTTCTGGTCTTTCCAATATATATAAGTATATCTGTGGAATATCAAGTTCCCTGATTGCCTTGATTTCATTGCTCCAAAGGTAGGTATCGTATGATGGATATTGATGATATGTTGATACATTTTTCAAGGTAGGTATTACATAAGTTTTTGACCTTTCTTAAATTTCTATTGAAACTAATGAATATTCAAATAGAACACTAAAAATTAATGAGAATATTCAAACACCTTCAAACAAATGATCTCATTATTCAGACGAATCTAAATGTTTCACTGTATATTTCTACACAATAAAGTAATAGGTACATGTTCATCATCTTCCTCAATTGAAATATCAGTTTTTGACTTCCTATCAAAAGTCCATTATAACTAAAGCATCTATCATTGAAATTTATTCATTCATTTTTGTCTCCCCTTCCAACTATTTCTGATTTATTTGGGAAAATGTTATTCATATATTCGTCAATTTCTCCCAGTAGAACGTGTCACTCTTGACATGGGTTTTCAGAGATATTCAATTATTCCTTTTTAGTTGTTTCAGGGATTTCAAATCATTTTATATAGTAGACAATGGAAGTCCGAACTAGTGAGATTTGGGATTATATTCAACAGCTCCTAAAACGACTTATTTCTTCCAATTCCCTTTCCCTATTTGATTCATATAATTTTTGGTTTTTCTTTTCAAACTGAATACCATCAATTAAGCAGCGTCACAATCTTGCAAAAATGTCTCTAAAAGGTTGTCTTCTCTCTGGATACCGCTCATAATACAAATTTCTTGCTGCTTCTGAATTTTCTCCGGTTTGTATAAAACAAACTATCATATCCCATTTCTCATAATTCTCATACTCCATTATGAATGTGTTTGAATATTGAACAAAAACCACGTCTTTACTGCCTAAATAAAAATCTAACAGCTATCAGTAAAGTGTGGGTTTCAAAATCTACATGAAAAAACCTAAAAGCTCTGTATTTCAAAGATGACTCTAGTAAAACATCAGTGTGCTACAGAAATATGCAGGAATATGCAGAGTATCTCAATAAAAAAATAGTTTTCCATTAATCAGTATTGATATCTCATTTGAAAAAATTCTTTGCACCATTGAATTCTACGTAAAAAAGTGCTTTGGAAATGTTTTAATAGAAACAAGAAATGCAGCAACTTTTTGAAAATGCACATTTTCAAAAAACAATGCTGTAACTCAGGAACGATGACAGATATCGACATGCGGTTTTCACTACTGATTTTATCATAAAATTTGACCCTCAGTCACAGCCATCAGTTTTCATTAATCTAGTTTGGAAACAGGAGTTTTCCTTCAAAAACGTCCCATTTGGCACACTCTGTACATAATAACTAGAATGTATATCCATTGACACCATTCGATTATTCGTTTGTCGACTGGGCAGAATTGATTTGCTCCACAGTCACTCTGAAAAAAATTCTAAAACCACCCCAAAGAGTGTTTCAGTTGAATTCATAATCAGCGAATCTATAACAGCCTCCTTTTAGAATCAACACTGAAGTCGCTCTATAAAATAACATTGGGGCCGTAACTCAACTCTAATCTCTGAACCCGCCCGTTCAATTCCAAAGCCTTCGGGCAAATCCGAAAAAGTTATGATCCAGCCCTCCGTGGTGCTCGAACAACCGATAGGATATTGAACTCGCTCTCTATCATATTTTTATTTTTGCAGGGGAAACGTTTTGTCACACGTTGCACATAATGGATTCAAAGGGTACGAGCGTGCTGGTGAACAAAAAGTGTACGACCGACAAGGAATGCCAAAGAAATAAAGTGGGATGTGTGGAAATCGACGCTCAAACGGTGAGTTTTATAACATTCAGAATTTGATTTGGTGTTTGCTGAGAGATACAAACTATTCATGGTATGGCATATTACAATCGAATTCCGTTTTTGTTTGTTCTTTCGCGGAGTTTGTTTGCTTGTGTAGATGCAAAGAGCTTCGCTCACAGTTTCGCATATTTCCTAAGGGAAAATACCGTTTGAATGGTATTCGAGAAAGATTCACAAAGGAATTCACAGGTAGATTTTTTGAGTGTCTGTGAGTTTTTCCTGAAACGGAAGAAATATTTCACCATTTTTAATTTCAATGATCGATTTATATTATTTGTATTCGCTTCAGTATGAAATTAAAAAATATTCATATAATATAAACATTCAGTGCATTCAAAATAGTTTCCCACATTCAGTCAAAACCACACGTAAAAAGTGAAATTCTGGAAATGAACAAACTAAAAATGTTTAACAATGCAACGTCGACTAAGACGAAATCCTAACGGAGAGGTAGAATCTGCTAGTCTTTATTGTCTATATTACGGGTATAAGTATTTTGCAGGTCTGCAGGTCAGCAAATTGTTCTCAGTAGATATTGTTCTCCTAATCTTTTCCTAAGACAGAAATTCTTGCAGTTCTGGTCTCCCATAAATGAATCTCGACCAGATTATTCATTTTCGACAAAAAGAATCCTACCCCCACTCAATAGTTTCACAATTCTCAAAAAACTGACAATAGATTTTGCAGGTCAGCAGAAATTCTTGCAGGTTGGATCCCCAGACATATATCTCGACGAAGTTAATCATTTTTGACGAAAAACCTCCATCTTTCGAGTATGAAAAAATTTCACATATCTCATAAAATGAGATATGTGACCTTGCAGGTCGACAGAAAGTCTTACAGGTCGGGTCAGCCAGATTTGATTCTCGACCAGAATATTAATTTTCAATAGAAACATTTTCCAACCCCCCCTCCCCCCCAAAGTGTTTCATAATTCTTCGAAAAATTAAAAATACATTTTATCAAACCCTCGAAAGACAAATTGGGATGGTTACAAGGTACATCTGGAATTTTGCTGTGACCGGGATGGCTCTTCATAATAAGTGATCATACAGACTTATCAGTTATCAGCAGACCAATTACCAGGAGCTATTATCTCTTCGTATAACCAACACTGTCCTTCTGTCAAGTAGAGAGCAAACTAGAATGTTTTCTGATAGAATGAAGACTGAAAGAGTTCAATATAAACTGTTTTTAACTGGATACCGCAAAGCCTTAACGAATCTATAAAATGCAGTGAAAGGCATCCACAAAGGATTGGCTGGTGGCAACAAAGTGGTAGATTTGAAAGGAATTAAATAGGTCATAAACTATTTACTCAGCAATACTGCAAAAAACTCCGAAACTTCTATTTAAAAAATTATCTCTAGTCCTCTGAACCAACTTGGCTCTGAGATTCATACCAAAAACATGAATCTTCCAAAACTTGGAAAATCAGACAGGAATTTGCGAAGTCCTTGAAACTAATGGATCTAATAGCATTTGCATTCACCTTGCGGAAATAACTTGACAGCCATATTAGGCACTTAGCACTGGCTAACAGACCACTACATTACACACCATAATAGTAGTGGTGTACGAATTTGATAATACGTCCCTAAAAACAATCAGCCAGGTGTCGAGGATAACATGAATAAAAGATACAAGCTGCATATGGATATATTGCGTGCCTAGTTGACATATATATAAACACAATCATTGTGGAAGAAACAATATTGGAACGCATACGTCTATAACGGACACACAGTCCATTATGCAGACGACTCGGTCGCCCTAGTACGGCAAATATAATAATATAGCGGAAGAACATAATTATTATAATTATGAGTATACGGACCAGAGTGTTGAACGTAAGCCCAATGAAATCGATCATAGGAGCATTCATCAAGGGAGCCAAAATAAAGGACTTTTACCTCCAAAATTTCAAGGTAAAGAGATAATACATACGGGAAAGGTCAAATATCTGGGAGTGATTCTAGATCCCCAGACTGTCCATAAACCAACAGCTAGCGGAGGTAGCACTAACGCTAGCTAGACGCATCTACGAATGTGAATTGAATAAATGAATTTATACGACGAAAATACAATATTTATTCTTGAAAAATATCATTCATAACAAGCAAAATAACAAATCTACTATGACAAATGTTAAAATATGTCCAGTAGTAACCAAGACATTCTCCAACAAATAGGTTATTCGCGAAGACAGTTTCTTTCCTGATTTAAGAAGAACTCGATTATGGAAGATATTACATGAGCTGAATTTCACTTTTGGAAAGCAAGATAGAGCATGTTAATTGAAAAATCAGAGATTGTGGAATGGAGAAGAAACTATTTAAGAGAAATAAAGAAAGCCAGAGCACTAGGTAAATCTATTTTTTATTTGGATGAAATATGGGTCAATGAGGGTCATACCGTCTCGAAGGTTTGGCAAGATCAGAACATCAAAAGTGGAAGACAAGCCTTTATGGAAGGTTGGTCCACTGGTTTGAAAATTCCAGTTGGAAAAGGTCGTCGTCTTATCATCACTCGCATAAGCAGCAGTGAAGGATTCGTAAAAGATGGATTGATGATGTTTGAATCAAAGAAAAATAGGGATCATCATCAAGGGATCCGTAATAGTAATGGATAACGCAAGTCACCACAGTAGACGAGTCGAGAAGCTGCCGACGTCGTGTTGGAAGAAAGCAGATATTACTGAGTGGTTACAAATGAAAGCTTTCCTTTTTGAATCGGCCATGTTAAAAGCGGAGCTCCTCAACTTAGCTGAACGTCATAAGTCAAAATTCTTCAGGTATGTCACCGATGAGATGGCGAAGACTAAAGGAATGTCGGTTCTTCGGTTACCGCCTTATCAGTGTGAATTGAATCCAATAAAGTTGGTTTGGGCTCAAGTTAAAGGATTTATCGCAAGGAATAATGAGACTTTCAAGCTATGTAAAGTAAAAAATACCTATACAGTGCTCTGGAAACAGTCGACCAAAAAGCTTGGGAAAAATGTATCCACTAAACAATCAGAATCGTAGCAGAGATGTTGGATCTGGATGATCGCATAAACTCATTATCAGAACAAAATAATTCCAGTTGTCATCAATCCGAATCAAACTGATTCATCCAGTGAAGAATCACTCAACGAATCCCTGTAGACTTTTTATCAGATTAAAATTATCGCAATGTCTTATTCGAAGTAAGTATTCCCATTAAATCTATAAAATTGTTTCTGAATGAACTATAAAATCCAATAAGGAATATGAATCTTCATTTCCAAACCAACAAGAATATATAAAGTGTATCTCTCAGTGCAGCCACACTTTTCTACTTCCTGAAAATGTCAAAATCGAAGCCGAAACGTCGAACAACGCAAAATTTTGAACGCGGTTCAACTCGAAATCAGATGTTCAAATTTCTAA